GCCGACACCGCCCCCAGGAATTGGGTAGCGGATTTTCTGATGAGTGGTGGAGGTGATGGCGTTGATCTTACCAATCCATGGTCTGCCCAGGATGTCATTGTAGGGTGAGACTTCGTCAATGATCATGAATGTTTGTGAGCTGATTACAGGTGGGGAGTAGACGTCGAGATCTATGGTGCCCACGGTAACCGTCGTTGCGCCATTGAAGCCAGTCAGCGACCTGGCTGATTTGTTGATCTTTGCTTCCAAGCCCATCTGTTGGATGACAGTCAACTGCAGGATATTGGCTGCGCTGCCTTCGTCCACATGGATTCGGTCGACCATGGCCTGAGCGATTTGAATGCTGACGACAAGGGCGTCGTTGTGTGGCATGTCGAGGCCGATCAAATCTTTCTTCTGGAAGCCGATCACTGGGTCGTCTTTCGCCGGTGGAAGGTCAGTCGAGACTTGGGAGACCACCGTGGCCTGCTTGATCTTCCTCTTCTTCTCTTTGCTGGTCAGCCCAGACTCTTCGGAGTCGGCTAGGATCGTGTTAATCCTTATGACTTTCTGAGGTGGCTCCTTGGCGATGTCGCGATCCTCAATCCGCTGGATGGCTTGCTTCGCAATGAATTCCGTGCAGTGTCCTTCTCTCACGAGTTCTTCAAGGTGCGTTTTCCAAGCAAAGCAGTTGTTTGTGGTGTGCCCGTGCGCCCCATGGAAGGCGCAGTATTTTCTGGTATCCCTTTTGTCCGGATCTCCCTTCAAGGGTGGCGGCCTTCTTACCCAAGGTTTGTCCTTCACTTGGGCCAAGATCTGGTTTATGGGGATGGAGAACTTAGTGTAGTTCTCTCCTACTGTGGCGCCCTCCTTTGGGTGTGACCTGTGCTTGTCCTTGTTTCTGTTGCCGAACCCGTCGTTCTTTTGGCCTGCCCTCTTGGTTGGTTGATTTTCCTGCTTAGTAGACTTCTTTGCGGCGATTCGATCGTCATCCCAGAGCGCATAACGTTCTGCGGTTGCGAAGACCTCTGCCAGAGTCTTGCTGGGAGCGATAGTCAGCTCGCGGTATAAGTCGTGTTCAGCTGGAAGACCTTTCTTGAAAGCAGAGGACGCGATCCGGTCGTCACATCCTACGATATTGGCCTTTTCTGCTTTGAATCTCTTGATGTAATCTCGAAGGGATTCGTCAGACTTCTTGCGTAGGTTGAATAGGTGGTCGGGGTTCTTCTTGATTGTCCGGTAAGACGTGTATTCTTTCGCGAAGACGTATGCAAACTCCTTGAAGCTGCTGATCGACCCAGATGGTAGGGTGTGGAACCAGTCCTGAGCTGCTCCCCGCAGGGTCATCACAAACACCTTGCATATTAACGCGTCGTTGGCTTTGTGGAGGATCATGACACTTTTGAAGTGTTTTAGGTGGCTCTCGGGATCGGAGTCTCCTTTGAAGGGCGTAAACGAAGGCGTCGAGAATCGCTTCGGGGGAGCTGCCTACTCAATTTCGACGGTGAAAGGCGTGGAGTTAGCTTGGTCCATCTCCTTGCGCAGGGCATCTTCGAAGTTCCCGCCGGTTTTCAAGTCTCGTAGTTGGTCACTCACAAGCTTCTTGACGTCTTCTGCACGCATTGCTGGTTGGACACGTTGGCGACCCTCGCGATTCGGGCGACGTTGACTGACCTCCTCATTGATCCGCAAGGTTCGAGCTTCTTGGCTGTGTTGCCTAGGCGGCGTGTTGGTGGACTGCGCTTGCGAGTGATTCTCCGCAGCTTGTCGACGAGAATCGGTCCTTCGAGAGTGAGCAGCGGAGCGCCTTTCCTCGCCGTTCTCACCGTGAAGGTTGTCAGGTTGACCTCCTTGGGAGCCTAGCCTTTGAAGAATGTTCCTCGACAAGTGAACAGCAAAGCGCCTCTCTTCACGATCCTCATTGCGATGGTCGTCAGGCTGATCTCTCTGGGAGCCTAGCCCTCGAGGAGCACTCCTCTGCGGGCCTAGGCGGTCGCGGACGTGGAGTCGTGGGCCCTGCCTTCCTCGCACGTCGCTCTGAGCGTGGCTTGCGGATGCTTGTGACATGTTGGCGAGCTGATCACGTTGTTGTCCCTCTCCTTGTCTGCTCATGCCTGCTTGACCTGCTCGGCGCCCGTCGATCTGCATGTTGGCGCAGTCGTCCATCCTTCTCTCTTCGCCCAGTGGTCCAAGGCCAAGGTTTCGAGCTAGATTGATTTGGTTGAGAAGCTGCCTCATCAAATTGCTTTGGTCGTCCATTCTCAGAGCTAGCTGGTCAACTCTCAAATTGAGGTCTGCTTGACTTCGTGGATCGGGAGGAGAGAAGTGTGTGGAGCCCAACTGCATACGGGCTAGGGTTTCATTGGAGGTGTACGCGGGAGCGTGCGTCGAGCGCGGAGGCAATGGAGGGAATGGATGAAGTTGCTCCAAGACCGGGCCTAAGTCGGCGATGGTGACGAGTCCATTTTGATGGGAGGTTCCACCATGCTCGGCGGTGGTGCCATGAGGATGGCTAAATCCGGCCAAGGGGCGTAGGGCGACTGCGGTGACCGGCGCGTTGGTGAGAGGTGGTGGCGCCACCATGTCGATCGCGGGATCATGGGTGGAGTGGCTTTGGGCCGTCGCGGATTGAGCCATGGCGGCGGCCTTGGCTCTCGTCATCTTGCTTCCAACCATGGTTGTTTGGAAGGCTTCGGTGGATTGGAAAATAGGAGGAACGGATTCCTTGAGCACGCGTTGAGTATAAC